AAAAAGTTCGATTTTGCGTCAAATTCCCCATGTTAGAATAATTACTATATATAAATCTAATGTATATCCTAAGTCACGATTTCGAGACATGAAAAACGCAATTTGAATTTCGTCAGTCGGCCAAGTAGAACGGGAGATAAAGAACTTCAATTTTTTTAGTCCAAAAGGGTTCTGTCCTTGAACGACTATTGTTTTTGTTTTGCGATTTTGCGCCGGAACCCTATACACGGCGGATCACTTTTCAAATCGTTGCCACCAAATATTATCGCTCTGTATTATATTTAAAAGAAATTAAATAACGAAGAATCTGCATAAATGTATGTATATTTCTCGCATTGAGATAAAACAACGGTACCTAGAGCCATCGAATTTTGAATGACGTAATCCTACTGAGAATATGGGCATATGAAAGCCCAAATCTGAAATTTGGAATTTGTTTTATTATCGATTTCATATTTTGTAAAATTTTAACGAATTTTTGATTAACAAACTCAATGATTTAAAAGCAAGCAATGGTAACACTCTACGGGAGAAAATCCTTTTTATCTCCGGCGCGCGGAACTGTGTATCGGAAATTCTAAAGATATGCTCATTTTAAAATTATTTTGCGACATTGCTGTTGAACTGAATTTTATGGTTTAACTGCAAACAATACGATATTTAGTGAATAAAGATAGCACACAAAACGTTAAAAAAACCCCTCTTTGGACGTAACTTAAAATCTGAAACCCTTCAGAATTTTTGGGGGGAACATTGTACCTCTTAGGCCATGAAGGCGCATCCGGAAGGTGACTAAACAGGAGATCTCAAGACAGACGAAGCTCACGACCGAAGACCATCTAGAATGGGGGATAGCTTGTGGTTTTGCAGACAACACTGTGATAGGCCAGTAAAGATAGAAGTAACTTCTTGTCCCAATCCTGTTGATTTCTGGAAACCATCAGCGATGTTAAGGATGATTCGACTAAAAGCTTTACCATGCCATCTAACTGTGGACGTTACATGTTCGTTTAAGTTTTGTTTATGTCGAGTACTTTACAGGTTTCTTTATTTACAGCTGAGATAAAATTCTTTCCTAGCCTGGAATGTAACCAAAGAAGCATTCCAAACCTGGAAATTTAAAGCTGTATCATAACATCTACTACCGTGACAGCCTCTTGATCAGGAATAGAATACGCCTCAGGGCACTTCGCACAGTAATTAACGACAACCAAGGCATATTTGTTCCCATCAGCAGTTCGTGTGAAGAGGTCCCAAATTGTCAAAAGCGACGCCTTCAAAAGGTTCAAATTACTACACTGTATGTAATAGCTTGTCTAGGCTGAGTTTTTTTTGGCCCTTTCCGGTTCGCACAGATTTGCAAGATTAGCACGAGTTTTGCACGTCAGCCAATAATTTATTCCACTAGAAGCGCTCTGAAAGCTTTTGCAAATTCTTCATTATTCTGAAGTGGGCCTCCTGTCGGATTGCTATGTAGTCCAGGATTCGGAATCTTGGACGTTTCAGCTGCCTTCGAAATACCTCTCCATCATAAGATTTAAACTTCCAGTGCAAAACGCCATTTCGAATATGGAATGGGTCACAGGGGGCCCAAAATTGTATTGTCGTAGGACTATAGATTAAAATATCCGATAGGAAGGTATCCTGTTTGAAGAGTTTTTTACGTCAGTTACGGATTTAATTTCGCGTATTCCAACTGGTGTTTCGTGAACTATTCTTCACTCCAACTGGTCTGGGTGAGACAATGATGAATTTGCGATTGTGCTTGCAATCAGATTAAGGAACTTGTATTTCAATTTGATCCTGAAACAATATCCACAGCTTTCTGGGCAGGGCCTTTTAGACAAGGTTTCGGCATTTCTCTGTGATGATCCTCGGCAATGATAGTGATTTCATGTCTTGGAATCATTAACCATCTGCGTATTTTGTGTTTATGATTCTTTAAATTTAAGAGGCAGGTTAAAGATGCATGATTTGTATGGAGCAGAATTTTTCTGCCTTAGAGATAATAGTGGGAATGCTCTATGGCTTTAACTATAGCGACGAACTCTTTCCACATTCCTCCGAACGCAATTCCTCTCTGGTTTAGATAGACACTTGTCAAGAATAAATGATTTGTTGAGGCTGGATACATCAGGCCTATCACAGATGTTGAGGCATCCTTCAGTTTGTTAAATCCACATAAACAATCTATTGTCCACCAGAACTTTTGCTTGCTCCCTCCCAATTTGTGAAGGTTCTAGCGGTGGAAGAAAAGTCCTTCACAAATACCCCGTAGCAGGTCTAAGTCCCAGCAAACACCTCAGGTGATGAACATTTTCTAGGCGTCTGGAATGTTTAATTGCCAACAGGTTTTCTAAATCCGTGCACGCAGATTCTGCATAAATAACATATCCGAGGTAAATCACTTTCTTTCTAAGCAATTTATATTTGCGACTTAATTTTAGATTGTCTTTTCTCAGTTTCTGCTATGCTTCTAAAATGCTGGAACTGTGGTGGTGAAGGCCACGTACGAAGAAAGTATAGAACACTTCAGGGCTAGGAATTTAAGTCCGATTCCCAGCCAGAGGCAGGAAACAAATTAGTGGCCATGTCGCCGAGCGGAATTGGCAGGTATTGGGAAGTCCCATTTTAAAGCGCTTTAGTTATCTACAGTGAGTGGCGGCAGGAGTGGACTTTTCATCATGGGATATATAACTGGAGCTCCTTTCAATATTGTTCTGAATTTTGTAATGTTAGTGAAATTATTGTATTTTTCTCTGTAGTGTAACATGAAAATTAGAGGGAGGATGCTGTACAGGAAAAATAAAAATACAGGGTCAACTCTATAAATGGCTATTTCTCTAATGTCGCAAGATATTTGCTAATCAGGCAACGCTTTTAGCAATTAAGTTTTGTCCCCAAATTTTGCAAGAAATCGTCAAAAGTCGCCAAACTTGGCAACATATAAATATATCTATATATATGTGTGTGTGTGTGTGTAAGATAAAATATGAAAATCAAACCTATTAACTTTAATTTGGCTACATCCCCTGCTTGGAATCCAACTCGCGTCATTCTGAAATCTAATTCCCACTATCTTATTCTTCTGCATTGCATATGACTCATTCCACAGCTCAAGATTTAAACAAAAGAACCTATTGTATAAATATCGCTGTTACTATTGCGCATTTACTTTTTTATTGACTGTGCACGCTGCTGCTTATATGTGTTGCTTTGCCGCTCTGTTTTATCTCCATTGTCCGGGAATGTAAGTTTTTTAAATTATGCTGGTACATATCGCACCTGAGTTGGTATGTGGAACCTGTTAATTTACGAAATGAAACTGTGCACGAACCCAGTGCAGGATAGCTACACAAGCTATAGCTTAGGGCCCCCACTTTCTTGGGGGCCACCCAAAAAATTAAAATATAGTATAACAGACTTATAAAGGGCCCCAAGAAAATATCTGAAAAAGCTTAGGGCCTTATTAAGTCTAAATCCGACTCTGCATGAGCCAACGTCAACTCTGCTAACGTTTTCTTTCAATGTTATGTCATCTGATGAATGTACGCTATTCTCAAGTCATCTCCACATCGAAGTATCTTTTATATATCAGTTAAATATTTTATTATTATAATATTATATGCCTTATTGATGTTTAAATTAATTATCTAACATGTTACGTTTTAAAAACTGGTGTTAAAAAATTGTTAGACTGAAAGATCCATACATGTGAAAATATTTTCGAAAATAGTAAGGAATTATTTTTATTAAATTTATTATTTGTAATAGTATCATATACAGTTTTTATTATTTTCTTATAAAGCGGTGTATAGTAGTAACAAGAGAAGCAGCAAGTTGCGCAAGTAATTCAAGAATATAGCTGCCTTTTTATTGATTTAAATATGTTGCTTTAAAATGGTGCTTCAAAATTAGCTATCATAATTCATTTTTATATGCATTTCTAAAATTTCGCAGCTGGTTTGGCGCCTAGCTGTTCACAGTCTTGTCTCGGTTCTAGACTTTAGCATGGATCGCCTGCAAGTGTACATTTTCTTTTTTTAATACAACCTGTTGTGACATGTCACATGTTTTCCAGTTTAGCACAGATACCTCATCAAGTATTAATATTACTTAAATATGAGAAACAATCCAATAATTATAATAAAAACTTCATAGAAGGAAGAAATATTATTAAAACCGTATTATAATGTCAAAATAGCATTTAAACGATATCCGAGAAGCTCTGAAAATCTCCCCAACAAATTCGCAGAAATTTCTTGAATGTTAATACTTAAATGTAAATTTCTAGGGATACCGCTTTGTTGGAATTACTTTTGGTTTTGACTTTTACCCTTGCCTACATGAATGACGAAACACGAATTATTGGAGAGTTAGGTTTGGAGGCAACTTCCCCTTGATAAGTCTGTCTCCTGCCTACTCTACGATCATTCACATATGCATTTTTAAAAAAAATTGTTTAATTTTAATTTGTTAAATTAGTGGATTTGTTTTCATGGATAGATTTTGCACTTGATTTGCTTATGCTTCTGAATTTAAATGATATTGTAGATTAGTTCGAGAATTGAATCTTTTACATGTTTGCATATTTTAAAATTATTTTAAATTATTTTGGCTTTTTTCCTTTTTTTAGAATTTAAATTTGCTTTTTTACTTTTTTACTTTTATACGTATTTGTTAAGAATTTAAATTTGTTTAACTTTAACCTAAAGGTTATATATAATAACTAGCAAGACATTCGTGTTTCACTACTCCTTTATTCTGTAAACATCAAAATAAATATTTTTTGCCTAATTTAAAATGGCTGTAAAGGACATCGAAATGAGTTACGAATTAAAAGGGGATTTTTTGTGAAAAAAGAAAAAAAAAAAAAAAAAAAAAAAAATATTTACGCACTTCAACTTCAGTGAATAAAAGTAAATAAAAAAAAAATAAAAAGTAAGTAGAAAAGTATCATAAAAAACACCACTTCCTAGAAATGAAATGTTATCTTCTCTTTCCGCAATTCAGCTTCGAAAGAATTCAGTACACGGGATGTTCAACCAATGTGGAAGTTTATAGCAAACGCGAATTACTGTAAAAAATTCGAAATATTTAAAGTATAAATAAAGTATGAATTTTTATTTACTCGGGTGAATGATCAGGCTCGGATATTTTTGAAAGGTAAGTAACATCTATAGTTCTTCAGTAAGACAAAGACAAATTACGTCTACTAGTTATTCATTTATTGTGCCATTTTTATTGGCACAAAGCCAACAGTCGACCTGAAACTTGCTCTTTGAAACTACAGTTGCGTACACTTGCATTCGGCACGCGAGCAGGTAGTCTTGTGGTATTACAGAATTTGACTCATAAACAGACAATTCTCTTGCATAAATTGACTATGTGAATTGCAACGAAATTAAAATATTTTATTCCATCAACATAGGTGTCAGAAATTAAGAGAATGAACAAAATTTCCAAAGTATTTTTTTAGGAATATCTAACGCTGCTTAGCGATTATGTTGCCTGGAAACTTATGCTTTGTCGAAATAGGGAATTTCTGGATTAATAATTCATTTGTTTCTACAGGTTTGAGATTTCTTTTCAAAAATCTGAAATAAGAGGGAGAAAAAAGATTGTTTCATCTTTCAGGCATATTTTAAGAAGGGAAAAATTATGTGAACATCTAGACTATATTTTATTCAGTGGCGTAGCTAGAACTCTTCGGCCCCTGTGCAAAAAATTTTCCTGCCCCCCCCCCCCGAATAAATTTACTGTGCTTAAAAAAAGGGGACAGAAAGTCTAGATTTGCGGAAATTTTTAAATAAGATCCAGTAGGTTTTACATGCAAGTATATTTCGAGTTTTTATATAAAATCTACGCCAATCCAAGTTTTTTTTCGCTTAATTTAGCAAGCTAGTAAATAACTGGTTATGTTATAAGCTGACAGACAACATGATAGGTAAACGTATAAAAAAGAAATTACACTAATATATACCGCTTTGTGATCAACTGAGCTTACGAACACGACATATGCAATAATATACAAGTCATAAATAAGAACTTTTTTAATGTAAATGATTCATTTGTTAAATATAAAACATATTTATCATAAATTCCATAAAGAAAACTACTTGAACATACAATTTTTGTAGAAAATATGCATGGTAAAGTTTTCCCCCCTTTCTTTTAAGAAAACGTTTTAGTACACTAAACTACTCGAATACATGATTTTTATGCGTGTTTTAAGTTTAAATATGTAAATGTAGTTGAGCAGGACATTCATAGGCCCCCTAAGCCTTCGGGCCCCTATGCGACTGCATTCCTTGCGTACTCTTATTTACGCCACTGATTTTATTCCACCAACATATTTTAACTGTCAGAAATTAAGTGAATGAATAAAATTCCTATCGTATTTTTTCAGCAATATCTAAAGCTGCTTAGTGATTATGCTATCTGAAAAATAGTTCTTGTCTAGAATTTTTAATTCTTGTATAGAATTAGAATTTTTGGATTAGTAACTAAATTGTTTCTAGAGGTTTGAGCTTTTTTTTTTTCTCGAAAATCTGGAATAAAATTTAAAAAAAAGATTGTTTCTTTTAGACATATTTTAATAAGGGAAAAATCATATTGACACCCTAGTCTTCATTGCATGGCCTCTTAAATTATCCACATTGAGATTTCATTTCGAAAATCTGAAATAAAAGTGAAAAAAGATTGTTTGTTTAGACGTATTTTAATAAGAGGAAAAATCGTATGGACACCCATACTTCATTGCATGGCCTCTTAAATTATCCACACTTTTTTCCTGCGTCTCATTTAAACTTACTTCCTCGAATTATTCTAACTTAATTAATCGATTCCTAAAGGCAAGATGAAAATGATATCAAAGATTGCAAATTTGAGAGGATCAAACACAGGCACAGGGATCAAACTTCTTATAATTTTAATTTTGATATAATGGTTTCCCAAGTATAAATATACGAGCTGGGAGACTGCATTAAAAGTAAGATCTCATTATTTCTCGAAACTTTTTTTTTTAAAATTTGACATTGCCAAAACTTGAATATTTTCGTCATTTAAAACACTTCTGTAATTGGAAGGGTGTCCGCTGAAGTATTCGCCGCAGCAAGGGAAATTTATCATCGTACGAAACGTCGTGGAGAAAGCAAGAAAAAACATCTGGCTTGAGGGGACGTAAGTCTATGAAGGATTTTCTCAGGAACTGCCTGTTCAGAGGATTCGTTTTCACCTCATTCAATGAGAAGACTCAAATTTAAAATTATACCTAGAAAATGTAAATACAGACTTTTTTTAGACAGAATCCTCTTGGTGATTATCTGCCTGAGACAACCAGTGTTCTCGAGAGCATAATAAAAGACAGGTATTAAATAATATCTCTCTAAGATGACCACATCTACAGAAGCAAAAAATATATGGATCGTTTTAAAGAAGATTTATTACTTTTATATTTAAACATTTTTGTAAATAATTAAAATACACAATTAAATTTTTCAAAAACATTTTTCTCGAAAATGTTTTAGGTACTGCTTGAAATTTATAACATAGGGTGAACCATCTTTTTGAGACAAGCGTTTCTAAAAGTGACCAGTATAACTGTGAAATTTTGGTATGAAATCTCATTTTTCGAAGACGAGGAACGTCATGGAAGGGTAAGTCATTTGGATTTCCGTAATGCTCACATTAGAGGTTGTTCACTGCGTTTAGCTTTCTCATTTAGATAATTTTTATTACTTCCTTGTACGAAGAAAAGGAAGTATTGTAATCGTAACAAATTTTAGGAATCACAATTCAACAGAAATATACATTTTGGCTGTTCCCGAATCTATTTTGACTGCGTTTTTGCACGACGTCTGAACATACGGGCAGAATAAGGGACTCATTATTCCAAAACGGATTGTAAAATGGATTGAAAATGAAGCTTTTGTGACGTCTGTACATATATACTTACGTATCTATTTCGTATAACTCCAAACCGATTAATCGTAGAACGTTGAGGTTTTGTATATGGCACTGCTATGACATCTATCTATATATATATTTTACTGATGACTGCAATAAAAAAGGGATGTGCACAGCTAGATGCTCTCTCTCTCTATATATATATATGTATGTAAACTAAAAATTCATAATAATTTATAATAAGAAAACTTTCCATATACCATCTCTAAGGAACAGAAATTCAATTTAAAACCATGAATGAAAAAAAATTAGTAAGAATTTAAACTGGTATTTTAAATAATAATTTCAACTTATATGTATATATATGTCCACTTCCTTACTCGATTTACTTATTCGGACTTTATTTTCGTAAGCTCCGATTGTAGTCATACAATTACAGGACTGTTTCAAATGATGAAAATATTCTTGTTTCAGCAATATCAATTATTTAAAAAAATATTTTGGTCAAATAACGAAATCTAATTTTTAATACGGTCTCCCGATTTTTATGTTTGAATTTGGGAAAATTTTATAGTCGTTATGGAAAAATAAATTTAACAGAAGCTTGATCCTTGTACGACAAAAATTGATCCTTGTCTATATCAAATTTTTTCCTTTAATACGCATTAATTTTTCTATTTCTTTATTTAAAAAATGTAGACTATTTCTTGTTATTTCTTAATACACAGTGAATTATCTCATAGGGATGTTCTGTGGAAGTGACCAATAATCAGTTTAGATATATATAGACATATACAGTGGATGGACAAAAATATGGAAACACCTTGTGAAATGCATGTTTGAAAAGAAAGATTGATTTTAATGAAATATGTAGGTGGCGCTGGCGTTTTTGACTACTGACGCACCTATACAACTTCGTAAATGTGCTAAACAGTTCAGTTGTTGTCGAGTACTGTATGTGAGGTTGTCATTGCATTAGGTCAGAGTTACAGACCTCGAACGTGGGCAAATTGTTGGAGCACGTATGGTAGGTTCTTCCGTAAGCAAGGTAGCCGAGGTGTTTAGTGTTTCAAGAGGTACGTATCGAAGATTTATTCGCGCATATTTGAAAGCGGAAAAACATCATCTGCTAAATCACAGCGCGGACGAAGTGTGTCCTGAGTGATCGTTACAGACGATCATTAAGGGCAATTGTGACGAAAAATAAGACCACAGCTGCAAAAAGTTACTCTGCTGAAATGAATGTTGTGTACCGAACCCTGTGAGTACCAAACAATTAGAAGGAAGCTTCATAAACAGGGAATTGCTGGCCGTGCTGCAATTGAGAAGCCACTCATCAGTGATGCTAATGCCCGTAACAGGAAAAAGTGGTGTTTAAGTCCTAAAGCCTGGACTATAGAGCGGTGGAAGCGAGTAATATGGTCTGACGAGTCTTCTTTCACATTGTTTTTCCCACTTCTGGCCGAGTTTACACGGTCTGGAAAAACGCCATCTCAAGCTTATAATACAGACTGCTTGTTGCCAAGAGTGAAACATGGCGGGGGTTCTGTTATGGTTTGGGCAGCCATATCGTGGTTCTCTGCTAGCCCCATGATAACTGTGTCAGGGCACATGACTGCCAAGACTTATGTGAACATTTTGGCCGATCAAGTTCATCCCATTGTACAAACTTTGTTCCCCGATGGTGATGGTGTCTTCCAAGACGACAAAGCCCCTGTTCACACAGCTCACATTGTCCAGGACTGGTTTTCTGAGCACGAGGATGAGTTGTCCCATCTCCCCTGGCCACCACAGTCACCAGACCTGAATATTATCGAACCTTTGTGGTCTACATTGGAACGGAAAGTGCGTTCTCGTTATCCACCGCCAACATCGTTATCTGAACTTGCCACCGTTTTGCAGGAAGAATGGTATAATATTCCGTTGGCAAACATACAGGAACTGTATTTATCTATTCCGAGAAGACTGCAGCTGTTTTGGATGCCAACGGGTTTCCTACACCATATTAAACAAAGAAACATGTTTTTTTAAAGGTGTTTCCATATTTTTGTCCAAGCCCTGTATGTAGTATCCACTGATTGTGAAACTCGGCTTTTCTTCAGGTGTAATTCACCTGTTTCATGTTCTCGCCGAAATAAGGTTTTATATTTTGTTAATTTTAAATAGTTATTCGAGTCACTACATAGTTGAATGGAAAGTATTTCGTGAGCTGAAAAATATCAGTTAAGCAATTTGCAATTTGACTTTAATTTTAGTGTACCTGAAATCAAATTTGTTAGTTTAAGAGGAACGAGCACATTTTATGCTTAGTGATGTATATAGATTAAAGATTTAACAAAAACAAGTTACATGTTCTAGTTTCATTTGACGAATATTAATATTTCTTAAATCGAAATAAATTATTTTATTATTTTAAAACAGTTAAACTTAAACCAAAATGTAGTTAAATTAAATGTCAGATTGTAGTTGAATCTCAAAATAATTAGACTGAATATTGATAGTAGACACCTAGAAGTAATATATAAACAAAAAGAAAGAGAGACAGATGAGACTAGTCAGAGTAAAAATGTTGATGTTGGATTAAAACGTAAAGGGTTTAGAAATATAATTCTAGAAGCCCGATTTTAATTATCCGTATGAAGAAAAAAATGCCTCATATGAACATAATGTAAAGTCATAAATCATACGGTACCTCGTAAGTAAAGCGGTAAAGGCGTACAGTACCTTTTGTTTTTACTACTACTACTTGACCACTTTTAAAGATCTGAATGATGAGTTTGTATCAGTCAAATATTTTTTTAGTTAATTATTCTCTGTCCCTCTGTGTTTATACGTGTATTAATGAGCATATATAGCTATATTTATACATGTATTGTCATGCCCGATAGGTCACAGCCACTGTGCTACTAAAAGAAAAGCATTTTTATTTAAAAACTTCATAATGAGTCCGCCAAGGAAATCAAAAATAGGCTTTACGTCTAAAATCATCCAACACATTTTTATGAGACATTTCCATTTTTATTCTGGCATTTATTTTTTTTATTTTGTCATGAATTTTGTTCAATCAAATGTTTCGTTTAGCGGCATTCAAACGTGTAAAAATATTGTTCGTTTGTTGTAAGCGTGAGATCCACCATTTGCCTGGTGGATAAGGTCGCTGAATACTGGTAATTTTTCCAGCGTTCGATCTCAGGCTAAAGGGTTGACTGTACGTTTGGTTTTACGCACTTTTAAATTAAATACAAACCTGTTCCTTTAGAAAATCCTTTACGAGGGCTTTCAGGTAGATAGCTCTCATGTACTGTATCGCATTCTTGTCTAACTTGCAAAATTAAGGGCATATGATATGAGATTATAGCAGTTTTGGAACGGATATACGTATCAAAACATGTACATTTAAAATGTATACATAGCTAATGCACTAAATCATGCAAACAGTTTTGATTTTTAGAGCACACTTTTGAAAATTTAAATAATTTCCGTCATAAGAGCAAGACCGAGAGAACGCGATGAATCGAAAGAAATAAAAACCTTGGCTGAATAGCTTACAAGAATGTTAAATTATGAATTGCAAGGAGAAAATTATCCTAAACGACGAAATTATTTAAATCTGAATTAATTCGCGTTATTGTTGCCCCAGTAGATATTTTATATAGGTTTTGCAATAATTAAGTTTTGTTTAGTTTAATCAGATTTTCGTTACTTAGAGTAAAATCCCGATTATCCCAGGTAATACGGATCATGATTAAAAATACATCTAACAATTATTTCGTAAAAAGTTATCGTTAAGAAAATTTTCTGTGTTATTACGCATGGTGTTGGGAAAAAATTCTCCCGAAAACGTCGTCTTTAGAAAATATCTCAAAATATGTATCCCCGGGAAAAATATGTCCGGAAAATGTGGGGCTGTTTTATTATTTTTTGATAATTTTATAAGAAAATATTTAATATCATGCCATAAATGTTACCGAAAGTTAATAAGCTTTATAATGCATTAGTATAACTTATTTAGCTTTAGTATGAGAAATTTGTTTTTACGCTTAATGTATTCTGTTATATACGAAATAAATGTGCATTACTCTACAAAATAGATTTAAAGTTTTAATCATACAATGATACAGAAACACGACTGTATTATATATATTTTATCGGATATAAATTTACGTTAGTTCCTTGGAAAAATTTAATCTGTATATGAAAATAGATGTTATATCGATTATTTTTTTAACCGTTCATTGTAAAGAATCAGTCATATTTCTAATTCGAAAAACATTTTAAAGCTGTGGATGTTAGATACATCACCATTTGTTCTTTCAGTGCAATTGTAAATTTAACTTTTCGTGTATTTAATTTTTTAGAAGATTAATGTACGACTAATAGACATTGCGTTAACCAGAAAGGGGTCGAAAGAAACAGTTGCGTGAGCTTTTATGAGGACACCGAAAACAAAGGGGAATCAATAAAACGGATTTTGAAAAGTAGAACTACACAAAACCACAGTATATTTAAGCATCCATATCGATACCATTTATTTCTATAGTACTTACTTTTTTATTTCTTCATATGAATATTTTATTATTTACATTAAATTGATTGAAGCTTACATAATCAGTCTCAAAGACAAAATTTGATTTTTTTGTAATACGTGTAATAGGCATAACATCCAGGCGGCGCCAAATTGATGCCCGAAATTTTTTAAGGAAATGTTTTCCATTCTTGGCACACAGAAAGGGGAGCAAAATCTTCAGTTGATCCCAGTCGCTGGAATCGTAGCTAAGCCACTGTTTGTAAGGTATATTTTAATTTTATAATAGTTATTTTAATTTAGATAACCTTGTCTATCAATTCTTGTTTCCTACTTACAACTCCCTTTCAGAATGAGTTTTTAGAGTCGCTTTGAATGCAAATGAATTAGAAGTAGTATTTAAGGAAGGTTCAACTTACTTCGTGAAAGAAACAGCTAGGAATCCCGAATGCCTTCGGGCTAAGTCTCTCTAGAGGCGGTTACGCTCTGACGTATATTACATGCCTTTTGATATTCGCTGGTTAGTTTAAATTAAGGGTCAACTACGTTAGATTTCTGTTAGCTTCGGCTATGTCTCTTTTAGTTAGTTCTAAGTTAGCTCTTATTTCTTATTTTGAGTTCAAACCCGAGTGGAGGCTTTGTTGTAAGCCCAAGAAAGAGGCCGACTGTTCATCTTATTTTGAGTGAAATACAGGTTATTTAACCCTTCTTGAGTCTACGTGTTAGTTGTTTGACCTCAGCGATAAGTTGCTAACAAGTTCACTAGTCTCCTCAACGTTCATTTTAGTACAAAAAGATTTAAGAACTTTACAAGCTGTTAAATTGTATACCTAAAATAAGTTCGAGTTCAGTGCTATCGCAACTTTGTTCAATATTTGTTCAGTGCCATTACAGTATGAAAAAATATCAAAAGTAATGAAACATTTATAACCGCATTCAAAACAGGGAGGAAGACCCAATAGAACATTTTATAACAGAATTTTAAAAAAAATTTCATTAATTTTATTATTATTTCAATCAAATCCTACTTTGTAGAAAAACAAGTATATTTTCCCAATCTTTTCGAGATTTCTTGTGTGGTAACCGTACATTAATTATAATTTGGCAAAATCATTTTAGAATCCGTACATACTTAGCATTAACCATCAAGCATAACTGTGAATGCTTGCGTCCTGATAATTTTGATATCTAAGTGCAGCATAATATGTAAGATTACTCTTTTATAACTGCTTGAATATGCTTTTTTTGTTAGAAAGAGTGATACGTTACTTATGTTTCTTATTGCTAGTTTTTTATCAAAGAAAATTTAAATGTGAATTAATCGTACTTTTTAATGTAATTAATTATTAAATAAATCGGTATATATGAATACATGCATGCAAAAGAGGCAGAGGGCTTTACTAAAATGAAAACGAAGAAATGGAATCCAAAAATATTTGATTACTCTGATTTATACGTTTCTGGATTCTCGTTTTAAAATAAATATTAGCTTTACAACATACAATTACTATTAGTCAAGGTATGAAATTATATTTAGTTTCTTCAGTCGCCTGCACTTTCATCTGTTTTCTGTTATCAAAATAGCCTTGGGGACACAAGTGCCACCAAACTTGCAGAAGTTGCTTGGTCTCTTAATATTGATATGATTGTCATAAATACATTAATATGACTGTCATAAAAGGATTAATTTGTACTGACGTGTCTAGCAATTTTTTTCAATTTAAAAACCTAGATTATAAAAATAAATATGTCTTCTTTAAAATTATCTTTTTCCAAAATATCTTGGATGCTTTTAGTTTAGTAAGTAGAAGGATGAAATATCTTATTTTTACTGAAAAAAAGATCACATCTGATAACTTTAATTAAAAAATAATCATGGAACAAGGGAAACATGGATATTAATTTTTAGTTCTTATTTGCCTTCAAAATCGTATGTGTCGCTTATGTGTATAAAACACTTAAAATAATACACTATAAACACTGACATTTTTTACTATCTACATTAGCCGTTAAAAAACAGAAAATTGTATTTTAAACTTTTCATTCGGTGAAGTTATATAAAATATATGCAGTTTTTAACCTTGTGATCTATCTTCCCTAAGGGCAGTCTTTTTATTTTATTAATATTTATTTTTACTAAAAAAATTACGAGCCTTAAACTTATTTGTTCAAACTTCTGACGTCCAAAGTCCACACAAAATCAAGTCTCACTCAGAAATATTAATACAATTTCTCTACCGATTTTTGATTTGATTGTGCACAAATTAAGGTACTTTGGGAACTTATAATTCCAAACAAAAGTTATTATTTTAAGAAATAAAAGACTGCGATCAGTATTTTTTTCTAATTACTAATATCAGATCGTTTTTCTTCAAAAGGCCTCAATGAATCCTCATTTCCTAAACAATAATTCCTCAGCAGTTTGGAAGAAGACGTCTATCAGTATAGGAAGCAGTCTTTTACAATAAACCAATTATTGGTCACTTCTAGACGGCGTCGATAGAGATGATTCACTGCGTGTTAAAATGAATATGAAATAGATGAAAAAGTTTCAAATCAAAAAACCGAAAATTAAATACTTCTTAAAGGAAATAAAAATTGCGTGAATAGAAAGCGAGACGCAGTAAACCCCTCCAAGGTGACCAAATTGCGATTCTGGAATAATTTAATCTTCTATGAAGCTAGAGATTTAATTTCAAAATTTCACAGCTATACTGGACACTTTTAAAAGTGGTCACCTGAGAAACTGTATCACTGTATGTTATAAAAGCTCAAGCAATAACTAAAGAATTTTCCCATAAAATGCATCTAAAAAAATAATAATATTATTAAAGTATTCGTAAAAACGCCTAAATATGAATTTTAATATAAAAAATCCTCTTTAATGCGACCTTTGACGATTCCATACATTTTTAGTCTTTCGTGGATGTGGTTATTTTAAAAAGGTACTATTTAATGCCTATCTATGTTTATGTTCTTAGAAATACTGGTCATTTTAGGAAGATAGTGGGCAAGAGGATTCACTGTAGTTTTATATTTTTTCTGAAAAAAATCTGCGTTTACATATTCTAGGTGAAATTTTAAATTTGAGTCTTTTGAATGAATGGTGTAAAAAGGAGTCAGTTTCCGTTACAATTCTCTTCCTGAAATGGCAGCTAGTAGCCGAGGGGTAAAGTCGCTGAACACTGGTAGTTTGACCCACCGAACAAACTCGCTGCTTGAGATTTTTGTGATTTTCCAAATATATTATGCGCGACAAGGTATCTGAAATGATGGCAGCTATGCATACAAAATTAGCTTGCTAGTTTTTCAAATAACTGTCGGAATGCCAATGTTTGAATATGAAATCTGTCAAATGTTCGCAGCTCTGTACCGGTAATGAAGTTGTTAGCTATTCTCCTTGTTTGGTAACTATAGAAATGCCGTTTGTGAATGAGTATGATATCTTTTAATAAAAACAGCTCTGCATCGACGATGAGGTTGTTAGTTATTATCTGTGTTTAGTAAATATGCAAATGTCATTTATAAAACGGTATTTAAATATGACTGCTCTCAAATGATCACAGCTCTGCATCGACACTGGGCGAAAGGAGTAGACTTCAAATTCTCTTGAAGTTTTTTGTTATTCCCACTATTATATTATGTTTAACCATAAAATTTTCAGTTTTTTTTTTTTTGGTCACTAGATTTGTGTTTATTTTTTTTTCTAGGTAATGGGAAATAATGTTTTTCCATTTTTTCCTTCTATCATCTTCTGCTTTGTGATCTTTCGTCCTGGAACAACAGTCGATGAATTGAAGAAGGGGAGATCTTTAAAGCGTACACTGGGATGCGAAATAACGGAAAGCGATGATTTTCCCGGATTCTACGTATTCTGTACCTCTTATAAATCCAATCAAACATCCTATTTTTTACCAGCTATGACAAGAAGACTTAAGATTTATAATGTATCCGGTTTGCTTCCAGATGAACCATTAGCTCCTCAACTTGGAATGCTAAAAACGTTGGAAATCGTATCCTGTTCGCTTACTCGTGTCTCTCTTGGCATGTTTGAAGGTTTGCACAACCTCACTCGCATTTCGATACGTTCAACTTACATACGAGGATTACCACCTGATGTTTTCTTGAGCAATCCGTATCTAGAAATTGTTGATTTGTCAGACAATTTCCTGACATCTATAGCAAGCGTCACGGGATCTCTCAGCAATCTTAAGTACTTGAAAATATTATATTTGGCAAAAAATATGTTAATACGATGGATTGATGAAACTGATTTTTTACCCTTAATGAATTCTAGCTTAGAGGCTTTAGATTTATCAAGTTGCATTATAACTGTTATTGAGGAAGCGGCTTTCAAACCACTTACATCCCTTTCTTCCCTTAATGTGTCCCTTAATCCTATGAGCGAAACAGCTTTCAGAAATATGAGCCGGAGCTTGCATATAGAAAGCCTCAGAGAATTTCGCGCTGAAGAGATGGTGAATATGTCTTACTTTTCTGCCGCTTTTTTGTACTCGTTGAGGGGCTCTGATATAGAGAGCTTATTCTTATCCCGAAATAGATTAGTGTCATTTCCTGTGGGAAATTATCCTAAACTTAAAGTGTTAGAATTAATCCGCTGCAACGTAGTGTTGCGTGATGATGCCTTTACTGGAATGCCTAGTCTAGAATCCTTAACGGTTAAAGAACACGAAGTTCCAGTTATCGGTAGACAATTTTTGACGAACAGAAGGTTGAAGATTTTAGACCTTAGCGATTACATTGGATTAACACCTTACAGCTCATTTGAAATAAAAGATTACGCATTTAAAAATCAAATAAATCTTGAAGTTTTGTATCTGAGCTATCTACCAATCAGAAAAAGCATTCGGAGGCATACATTTTCTGGTTTAGTAAGTTTACGTAAACTTATATTAAATTCGGGATTTGTAGAACTTATTGAAGAACGTGCGTTTGAAGATCTAAACAATTTAATACATTTGGATGTGTCTTATCATCGAATCAGCAGCTTATCCAATGAAACATTCTTTGGATTGAAAAGTGTGAAAAATATTGATTTAAGAGGTAACGAAATATCATTCTTGAATGATATTCACCCGTTCTTTCAAACACCTAATTTGGAAATTCTGACGCTGAATTCAAATAAAATTATTAGTATTCCTGGTCATATATTCTTAAATTTGAGTTACATCAGTGTCATTCAAGCTGCAGATAACTTAATTCAACCTTGGAAGGAAGAAATATTGCCCAAAAAATCGAATATTTCTGCACTTATTGTAGCTAAAAACAGGATAACTCACTTTACACGTGAAATGTTTAATGACGTCAAGCACTTGGAGTTCTTCGACTTTTCGGAGAATCCTATAAATTGTTCTTCTTGTTCTACCACAAAATTGCAAAGTTGGATGAGTGAAACAAATATCTCAATCTCGCGCCTCTATATCGCAGATAAATATGCATGCAAAGGGCCTTCCTCTTTGGAAGGAGTTTATATACTTGATGCCAATTTGTCTTCTGTTTTAACACATTGCCTTCCAGAAGAATATGATATCGCAAAAGTTCTGTACTGTACGTTTGTGCCATTGTTCATGTTAGGCTTTATCGCTGCTTTCGTTTGGCACCAATGGAAATGGAATATCAGATATTTTATTTTTCTTGCTCGTTCAAGAGCGAGGAGATACCAAGCTCATGTAACTGCAGATCGTTATGCTTTCGATGCCTTTGTTTCGTACTGCGAAAAAGATTTACCTTGGATTAGGAAAGAATTGGTTCCAAATATTGAAGACGGAGAACCAACGATTCGTTTATGTTTGCCTGACAGGAACTTCGATGCAGCACATTCCACGATGGACAATGTTGCGGCAGCTATTGAACAGAGTCGAACGACAGTTCTGGTTTTGAGTAACGAGTACATGGATTCAAACTGGTGCCGATTTGACATGGAAATGGCTCAGCATAAGTTATTTGAAGACACGAGAAGTGGACTGATTTTAATTCTTCTTGAAGCGATCCACAAATCTAAAATGACGAAAAATTTACAATACGTCATTCGCACAAGAACGTGCATTGCGTGGACTAACAACCTTACCGGACAGAAGTTGTTTTGGGAACGTCTACGAGCAGCAATAATGAAACCTGAAGACAAAGGTATATTGACTCATATTACGTGATTTATACAGAGAAACAGCACGAGTAAATATTTGTTATTTACTTTATATAAACTGGCAGATGTGGGTGGAACCCAAGAAGTTCACCATTAGTCGTAGAGGTGGTAATGAACATGTACTAAGCCTTATATAAGTACAAATTTCCCCTTTTTTACCATAGAACATGGACTAGCTAGAATACAAACTGCTAAAATGGAGATTCTCTTTCCTTTATAATGCTGTTGAAGCGTTTAGCTTTAGAAGAAATTTTTTCCATGGAGTAGTTTCGAAAGCTTAAGTATTCATAATTAAATTAATAAAATAATCATGAAAATTTATAATTTCTGAATAGTGTGGCTTTACGTAAGCAGTTTCGATTTGGAATAGCTAATGTTTACAGATATGTAAGAACCGCCTCATCTATTATTATGTTTATATCAAGAAGACAGCATTTTGATATGAAATATTTTTTATGCAACGTCAGTGAATCAAATCCAGAAATATTGCAAATAAAGCGAAATAAAAATAAATCAATATGAAATAAGAAAATTTTTCTTATTTATTTTTTGTTTTTGATGATAAAATTTGCAGCTCTTGCATAATGAAGGCAGAATGATTTTAATACATATTGAAAATATTGCATGTATTTATGTGTATACAAGTATACATGTAAGATAAGAAAAGGTAATATAAAATAGTAACTTTAATTTGCAATAGCGCTCAACTTTCCTTTTAATATGATTATTTCTGTTTGCATTCTAAAAATGGTAACTGCTTATATTAAATCTATTTAAACTGCGTTATTTAAAATTAATGTTCCCTGCAGAAGTCTTATATGACGCTAATGGCACAAATGGCGTATATAACACTTCAGCCAATAATGATTTTTAGTTTAGGAACTAAAACTTGAACTTAACCAATAGTAATAAAACTAAATCATTCTGCATCCAAATTTTCATCTTGGACAAGTCTTTCCTTTTTCCTCTTTTTCCGTTCTATCTACTTATGGCCATTTACTTCCCTTTCATCACTTGTACTGTCATAACGATATAAAAGAAGGTTTAAATTGTGATCAAGAACAGATGCGTTGATTAGCCCAATAAGCTGAGAACATCTGTTTCAAGAGAAATAAAAGTGCTGAATTTGCCATGGCTGCTAACATCTTTTATGCATCGTCATTTCATAAATCACGCTATGCTGCGTCAACAACTTCTAAATTATTACATATATATATATATATATATATATATATATATGTGTGTGTGTGTGTGTGTGTGTGTGTGAGTATAATTAATAATTAGTCAATAATTATTGTATAATAATATTATTATTATGTTAGATTCACTATATTACGTTACGGTTTTTGAGCTACGTGCGCACAGTTGTAGGTAGCAGAAGATAATTTAAGAAATCCATTATTATACTTGTTGATATCTCTCGTAGGAAATATTCCTGGCGTAATATCTTCTTAAAAAAATGTTCCCGTACCAACTTTACTAATTCTTAGGAAGTATTCTTCTCAAATTGCCAATTTTAGACTATGATTATGTCTTGCAAAGAAGATTTTTTAAATTTATATTTCAGTTGATGCACAATTAGTATAGCTAATAAAAGACGTTTGACATTTCGCTCTATCATCCGTCTGTGAATAGTCATGGTGGACACTCGTGTGCGAGTCGCACGTCTGATGGTTGATAGCGATGAATCAAGGCGCTGTGACAGCTGATTTGACAATCACTCTGTCCTCCCGATCTGTCGTGGCTCTAGGTCGACCGATACCATCATGACGCTGAAATCTGCCATTGCCTACCCATTCTTGCGAGCATTTTCTTATCGCCGCATCGCTTCGACTCATATGATGAGCGATTCCCCGATTTGCCCAACCTGCCTCTTTCAATCCAATGATACGACTTCTTTCAAATTCGGATAGTTGCTCGTAATGAGCTCGAATCCTGCGGCGAGCATTTTTTCAGTCGTGGTAAGGTATCCTAAATCGCAGTACAAGAGAAAAAGTCCAGTAGAATTGTGCTTAAGACACTCGGTTGCCTGGGCTGAGCCCTATCCTGTGTCGAACAATTATGCTATTGCGAATAATGTATACAAAAAATAACTAGACAAAATCTCAAACAAGATAAATTAAAAAATAAAAAATTATGTTGAAATGAATTGATTAAGAGAAATCTAATGTAGGCAAATATTTCAAGATGATGAACAGGAGGCATAGATTACTGAAATTTAGAGTTCATAAAGCATAGATTACTCGCTAGTGGCATATTCCATGAACTTCTGTACAGTTAGGAGTACGGATCGTAACTGTTGTGCAATATTAGCGTTCTGCATGAAACGAAAGATCTCGAGGATCATCTTGTCAAGTTTTTGTATGTTCGGGTTATTGAACCATGATAAAAGTCCTTTGATGATATTAGTCACTGGAGCTGATATGATCTTGACTGTAACGGAGTCTGCTAGGCATCTGGGCTGGGCGACTGTCAGTCCTCGGTAGCTTTGGAAAGTTCATCGACGAAACTTCGGGAGCAGGTCTCCGCTGAAGTCTCGGTTGATTTTTCTTTTCGAATCTTGCTTTATAGGCCTCATACCCACAACAACTCCCCGCTGTAAAAAATGCAACGAGGTTTTTCTTCCCGCTTTTTTCCGCACATGTTACTTCGGTGGGATCCACCACATTTAACACACCGCTCAGGGTTGCTACACAAATGCTGAGTGTGGCCGTAGGCCTGGCAACGAAAACATTGTGCAGGCCTTTTCCTTGGCTTCTGTTCCTCAACACGCACATCAAAACTGAACAGGTTGTTCAGTTGAAAGATCTGACTTCCTGCAGGGTTACGTTTCAGCTCAACGAAAAATATCGGAAGTTCCATCTGGACACCATTCTTGTTTCTCGCAAACTGTTTCACTTTAACTGCCGGGAATTTCCGTCTGACATTAAGAATAGCTTCTTCTCGAATAGGTCATTAAGAATAGCTTCTTCTCGAATAGAAACAGAAAGATCCTTAAGAGAAAAAGTTTCAAGAACAGCTCCTTATATACATTTGCTGGATGCGGAGTTCCGATGCGCTGGAGATTGCACTATTCATTCATTGCACACCAAATTTTAATCATTTGCATATTTGGTCAAAATATTTATGCATACAAAATTTCAAAGCAATCGGATGATTCCTTCTTGGTGCGTCGATTTTTTTTGTTATAGAGTGCATGACCCGCAATTTTTTCGCGATTATAGTTCTTCCTTTGCTCCATACAAGGAAATGAAAAGTGGAATAACCCATATTGTATTTTTGCATAACAGAAAAATTACTATTAGTAATTTAGCTAAATTTTTAAGCAGTTTAATTTGAAAATAAGTTCATATGGTTAGGAAAATTAAATCAGCCCTCGAAACAAGAATAAACTTTATAAAAAGAAAAGGATTTTTGTTTATATTACTATGTATTTTGAAAGGAGTCAGTTAGAAAATACAAAATTAATAGTTAAACCTTTTGTATTTTACAGTTTAACAATTTATTTTTACAAGATGACTTAAAATGTTATATATTCCAGATTATGAGCAATTTAATTACATATTCTTGTAAATAAACTCAGTTTCTACTATGCCAACTCTGCTGTTATGCCACGTATATCTTCTACATTTCTGTATCAATATTGCAACTACAGCGCAGGACGGGTTTCAAATTTTTTTAAATTTTAATTTGTAGCCTATTTTTTTTTCTTTATAGGGTATATATACACACACTTTTGATCCTGCCGATTGCAATAGAAAAGAGAGGTGCACAACTAGATGTTATAGCAGTGCCGTATACAAAATTTCAACGTTCTACGGCTAATCGTTTTTGAGTTATGCGAGATAGATACGTACTACATATATATAGATGTCATAAAAAATCCATTTTACAATTCGTTTCGGGAAAAAAGTGTCCTTTATTCTGTCCGTACTCACAGAAGTCATGCAAAAAAGTAGCCAAAACAGATTCGGGAAAGGATTGCATATTTCCACTGAAACATGATACTCGAAATTTTTTACATTATTCCATTTACTTCGTTCAAGGAAGTAAAACACTAGGCGCTTGCGCGACCAGCCGCCTGAAATAGTTATCTTGAAAAAGAACAATATTAAATGATTTATTGTCCAGTTAGTTTAATTTCATAAAAAACATTCAATATTTCTAATTTAGACATCTCACGATAGAAATGCATTTTTTAAAAATCAGTCAGATTAAAAATTCAAAAAAAAAAAAAAAAAAAATTCTTACGAACAATGTTTTTGCTTTTGAATCGCTTGGTTTGTTACACAGTAATTGAAAGATCATGTCTGTAAGTCAGATATCTTACGCTTTACAGCTGCCACTGCTAGCTTTAAATTGCTGAGTTCGTTATTAAATTCGTACAAAATATGAAATAAATAAAATTTGAAATTCAAAATTAGGACTTCGGGGTGCGCATATTCTCGTGGAGGATTATGGATATTCAAATTTGTTGCCTCTAGGAGCCGTCCTTTTCCCCACATCGCGAGAAAGGCATATACATCCATTCATTCATCCATACATACATGCAAACACACATAAAAATGATTCATTATTTAATAATAGAGTAGAGATAATAAAATGGGTCAGTGACACTTAAGCGACGAGATACTTAGCCGACAGGACATTTAACTGACACGTACATTTAGCCGACATGGACCGATAGGACATTTGGCCGACACGAACAGTTAGCCGGCAGGACACTTAGCCGATAGGGACATTTAGCCGACAGGGACATTTAGCCGACAGCACGTTTAACCGACAAGTTTACCCTACAGAACGGTTATCTAGCAACAATTATATGTAGAGAAAAAAACATACGACAAACCTTTGGCAAAATTTGTTCATATTTATATGATAAAAGGCTGTTTTCAGGGATACACAGCAAGAAGGTTTATGGACTAGTACCACATTTTTGTCTTTATTTTATGCGGTATTTAAGACTGTAAATTTTAAAACTGGGCAGAAATTCCACCTTAAGCAAGCTAAGATATTATAATTTTGAAAGCGTTAAAAAATTAATGACATTACCTAAAACAGGAAACGTTTTGTTAATGTGAGTTCTAGTGTTGTTCTTTGTATTTAAAAAAATGCAGTTTACTAACTGTAGGTGATTCAGAAGTCAAACAACAAAAATCAGCGTTATATTTTCAAATTTTGAAAATTTTGAAATTTTTTCAAATTTTGAAAATATAACGTTTGATTTTTGTTGTTTGACTTCTGAATTAGTATTTTTTTCGGCGTGTTATTGTGTCTTAATTAACTGTAGTTGATTTACGAAAAATTTTTGCAGATCAAAAATGAAAATTATCTGTCTAATTATGATTAGCTACTAAAAATTTATTTAGTTTTCCTTTCAATCATACGATTCTTGTTCTCTGACGAAAACGTTCAACGCTCTTTCAATTTGAGGGTATATGTCAAACCACACTGGCATGGTAGGCTAAAATTCAGCAATAATTTAAAATCAAAAATAGGCTGCTTAAGAACTGAACAACGAATTTTACTGATAAGTGAGAAAAATCACTTCGAAGTTAAACTTATTAAGAATCCGGGAAATTTCATAAATTGATAGAAAGATTAACAGTATTATGGCAGTGTTTTTACGATTGTTTTTCGAAATGTGCTTTATGATAACCAGAGGAACTTTTTAATTGCTTATTGTGTATTGTATGCGCTGTACGGGTTTTCCTTTTTGTTATTTGAGGTGCGTTTTTTAATATAAATACCTATTAAAACGTGTGTTTAAATGTTCTTATTGTATACTAAAGTTTCATAAATACTTATATAAGTTAAGAATTAAATTAAATGTAGTATTTTTTAAAACTGAGCATTTCGAACGGATAGAAAAACTGAGTAAATGCTTAGTTTTTTTAATGAAGCTTGATTTTAAGATAAGTACTTTAATCAAGTTTGTTGAATTTATAACAGTAAAAATAAAGTAAAATTAATAAATTTATAAAACCTCTATTCTTTTACAATTCGTATATTGCTGGTTTCTTAGGAGGCTGGTAACTGCAAAAGAGCTATATATATATTTTTTAACAAATTGCTTTCTTTCAGCAACAAAACTTAACAACCTGATGAAGTAAAAGCAGAACTGT